TTCCAAAATATAATAATAAATATTCCTTTTGATTAATCCTGATCAAAGTAATATTCATTTTTCACATTAAATTTTCCACATATCTTTAAATATCTTTTTTCTTATTCTTTATCTGTATGTAAAGCATCCAACTGCTGGTCAATAAGATCTTTAGGAATATTTACATTTTACACAAAATCTTTGCCTCCTGATATTGCTTCTGATATTGTATATGATGAACCTTTTGATCATCTATATGACATCCTGGCCAGTGCAGAAGATTTTGGAGTGCATAGCCCATTAGCTGAAGCTCAATCCGAAATTGACCTAGGGTTGTACCTTATTACCCTATAAATTCAGATGCCTTCCTTTAAAATTTCCATTCAGAAATTCCCAATGAAGCTTTCTCCAGTTTTCTTCAGAGCCTCTCGTCGGAAAAGTCGTTGGAGCAGTCATTAGAGCTGCTGCCACTCGACCACCGCCGCCTGTCATTGTTGTCGAAGGATCGCTGGAGTTGTAGACCACTGACGGCCGCCATCGGAAATTCGCCCGAGTCGCCGAGAACGTGCTCCTTTGCACCGTCTTCTCAAATCGGTGGTTCTTTCTCGTCTTAGCCTCCGTGATCCGTTCAATGAGGACCCGCATTTATGAGATCTACTTTCCTTCCGTTTCTTCTTTAGATCTGAGACTCAGCTGAGGACCGGTTGTGATCTATCTCTCTTATATTCATATTCGTTTCATACTGAGTAGTCTTTCGTTAATGCGTGCATACCTGCGCTGTATCTATATGAATACACATATTTAATTATTGCTTGAACCTGGTGAGTAACCCGTTACTAACACTATAATAATTTAATATTGTACTGTTGTTGGTGATTGATGGACTTAATAATTTAGGTTGAATGAACTATGAATAGTGTTTGCGGATGTTTGCACTGTGTGAAAGAAATCATTTGCAAGTTGAGATAAGCTGTAGGATCCTTTTATGTTATGTGTTGTACTGGATATAGAAGGCGCGCGGTGCTCCATAGTCTGTCGTCAGTGGCTTGTCGAGCCCTGCGTCGTGAAGACGGACAGCGTGTGTGCTGCTATATGCCATAGGGTGTGCGCTGGTAAAGGCATGGATGCACCAGTTCGGTTTAGGATGTTATTTATTGATATATGCGTGTCTTCGGAGGTGATCACTTTTGTGTACTAGCTTAGGACTTTCGTCTAGAATGGTTATGCATGAGCGAGATGTCTATCGTAGGTCCCTAGGACCTGCTCTCGCTGAGTATTGTTGGAATACTCATCCTTCTTCTTTGCAGGTGAGCGCACATACATTTGATAGTAGTCATTCGGCATAGTGTTGGTTTTGGGAGGACACAAATTTATTTTATTATTCGTTATTTATTTTAAAGAGGCATATAATCAAAAAACTAAATATATATAATCAATATAAAGTAATCTCATTAACAGAAAAAAAAATTATATCCGTAAAAATGTTGATATTTACAAAATATTTATATTTCAAAATAAAATAGAAATCAATATCAAAAAATGGTAAATTAGCAAAGGAAGAAAACACTAACTTGCTATTTTGGCTAACATTTTTAAAAATATAAGAAAACTTAACCCAAATAAAAACTAAATGTTGCAGTAATGTTTTGAGAAAAGTCTACATAAAATTTAGAATGAACAGTTATAATATGTCAAATCAGCATTATAAAAAAAAGAAAATTAATATTAAAATAACAAATTTAAAAATGAAAAAAGCATTCAAATAAAAGAAATTAATTTGATACCTAAGCTACCTATTTTCAGAATCAACAACAAAAGAGTTTAATCAGAAAAAATATATAAAAGTCCTAGGTATATTCAAAGATACAAAACAAATTTGTATAAATTAAAATAAAATATAAAATTATTATCAAAAGATGTAAAGTATCAGATTTCTAAAGTATTTGTATCGGCAATGAATAACTATCTACAGTTGCAATATAATTTGACTTGATATCTATGCTAGATATTTAAGAAATCGATATAAAATAATCTCATTAACAAAACAAAAAAGAGAAAATTATGTCTGTAAAAATGTTAATATTTACAAAACAATTATGTTTGAAAATAAAATAGGAATCAATATCAAAAAAGATAAATTAACAAAGGAAGAAAAGTCATATAAAAAACACTAACTTGATATTTAGACTAAAATTTTTAAATATATAAACAAACAAAAAAAACTAAATGAATCATTAATCTTTTGAGGAAAGTGTACATAAAATTTAGAATAAAATTTAGAATGAACAGTTATAGCATGTCAAATCAGTATTATAACTAAAATAAAAATTAATATTAAAAAAAAATTTAAAAAGAAAAAGCGTTCAAGTAAAAGAAATTAATTTGATATATATGCTACCTATTTTCAGAATCAACAACAAAAGTAATCCTAAGTATATCAAACATAAAACAAATTTATATAAATTACAATAAAATATAAAATTACTATCAAAAGATGTAAAAGTATCAGATTTCTAAAGTATTTTTGTCGATAATGAATAACTATCTATAGTTGCAATAGATTTAGAGAAGTTTCTATATCAAACATATTCTTTCAATATACAAAGGTTAATACATTGGGTGCTTCTGATTTAAAAACTAACAAAAAAAAATAATACACCAGTAATTCTACACTCGAAATTTAATAAGCAGTAAAATCTGATTTTTATACATATCCATTACTTATATCTGAACCAACATTAATAACACAAGAGTAACAGCTTCTAAAAATTTATTGTGTGTTTAACACTTGATATTTTTTCAAAAATATTTTGTAGAATAACTCATGCCTTGAAGTACAACCTTGAATCATCTAAAAATGATATTGTGAAATAGCACGATATATTATTGAAAGTGCCAAAGCATTAACTATAGACATTTGTTTCTCTTGTTTTGACCACTTCTATTTTGGTTTTGGAGCAGCGACTGCATCAGAACCTGCATCAGTGTTTACAACAACTTGTCTTGGTGGCTCCCATCCAGATTAGACCATTGCCCATACATTCTCATGAATTTCCTTCACGCCATGTATCATCTTCACTTTCCGATGGCCATAGTTTTCTGACCCCAAAACCAATGCTCTTGCTGCACCGAAAATCACCGCTTGTGTCTTTGTGTCGTTTTCAGGATCATTCCCTGAAATATAATTTCTTATTCTGCCTAGGTTAGGCTCTGATACCAATTGTAAGTGCAGAAAACGTCCAAGACATAGTAAAATACACTAAGGTTAGGCAATGTGCTTACACTTCAAATTATTATTAAGAATAATTCTTAAATACAACTACAGTTAGTATCCAGTATTGGAATTATATGACTCTAAGAACCTTTTAACTCGACCCTAATATAGTCTTAACTCCCTATGAGATCCCTAAGATTACCCATGCTAATCTATACCCAGGACTCACAAATCAAAACAGCTGCAAAACCTTTTTCTCTAACTCTCAAGTCTCAAGGGATGTTTTCTGTCAACCCTATAGACCCCATACTTAAGGAATTATGTGCCTCCCTCTCGAGTTGGCAAGGCTAACAGCCTTCCAAAATCTAAAAAGAAATAATCCTTTTGATTAATCCTAATCAAAGAAATATTCTTTTTTCTATTAAATCTTCCACATATCTTTAAATATCTTTTTCTACTTATTCATTATCTCTATGTAAAGCATCCCACTCATAGTCAATAATATATTCAAAGATATTTATATTTTCCACAAAATCATTGCCTCCTGGTATTACGTCGTATATTGCGTATGATAAACCTTATGATCATCAATATGACATCCTGGCTAGTGCAGAAGATTTTGGAGTGCAAAGCCCATCAATTGCGTTAGATTTAGAGAAGTTTCTAAATCAAACATATTCTTTGAATATACAGAGATTAATACATTGGATGCTTCTGATTTAAAAACTAACAAGAAAAAATAATACATCAATAACTCTACACTCGAAATTTAATAAGCAGTAAAATCTGATTTTTATACATAACTACTACTTATATCTGAACCAACATTGATAACACAAGAGTAACAGTTTCTAAAAATCTATCTAAATAATAAAATATAATAGAGTTATGATTCAAACTTAAATCAATATATCAGGATAAAATATATAAATCAAAATATGCAGAAAGCCACAAAGGATAAAAACAGTAAAAAATAAAGCAAAAATTCCACACCACCGATCCAATAAGTTTAAAAACTAGAATTATCAAATATTAAACTACAAAAAAAAAATCTCAATGATAAACTGGATAAAGATATAAGTAAAACCTCGTGAAAGACCAAGTGGAGAAACAAAAAAAAAAGGTTTTGTACGATCATTGTAGCTTCCTAACAAAACTAAATGCGAATCAACGTGAATCATGAATTATATATACATAGGTCTACAACATCTATGAGATATTTAATAAAAAAATTAAATATTTTAACAAATAAACCTTAAACAAAAAAGTATTCTATAGAAAACAAAACAAAACACCAAAATCTTAGCAAATAAACTCTTCTCTAAATCAAACGTGTTTTCATGTCGAAGTTGAGTAATTTGATAAGTAATATAGTTATTATTTATCTTAATAAAATTTTAATTTTTATAAACAAAAAATATGAGAAAACTACACATTATCTTTTAAATTCTGTTAAATACAATAATACTCCTATATATTTATTATAGTATTGAAAATTTAATAACTAATTAGTAAAAATAAAATAAATCAAACCATAAATCAAATCAAATCAAATAAAATAAGAAGAAAACATCGCAAACTTAATGAAAGTTGCACGACACTCTGTTAACTTTAATATTCTCTAAAAATCATTACTTTTTCAAACAAACAACTTAGCACCTCTTCTAAATGTGTTTGAAAGTGCCACACACTAACCCAACTGGGAAAGATAATATAATGTTTACACACAAAAAAACCGATTGTATATAAAGGGGTTTCATGTTGAACTACATTATTAAGAACAATAAAAACAACTAACAAGGCAGCTATGGGTAGGATGAGATCTTCAAGAATGATGGGGTTAGGGCCTTGCATTGTTTATGTTGTGGTCTTTAGTGCCATCGCAGTTTCAGCCTACCCATACCCACCCCCTCCAACACCACAATACCATTCCCCAATCCATAAACACAAATCACAATACCAACCCAAAAAGTATTCCCCAAACAACTCACCACCATCTCCACCAAACTGTTCTCCTTTTCCTAAGATACACTACAAGTCTTCACCATCACCACACGTCTACAGCTCCCCACCTGCATCATATTACTCTCCTTCTCCTAAAGTAGACTACAAGTCTCCACCACCACCATACGTCTATAGCTCTCCACCTCCACCATACTACTCTCCTTCTCCAAAAGTAGACTATAATTCTCCACCACCACCATACATCTACAGCTCCCAACCTCAACCATACTATTCTCCTTCTCCTAAAGTAGACTGCAAGTCTCCACCACCACCATACGTCTACAGCTCCCCACCTCCCCCATACTACTCTGCTTCTCCTAAAGTAGACTACAAGTCTCCACCACCACCATACCTCTACAGCTCCCCACCTCTCCCATACTACTCTCCTTCTCCTAAAGTAGACTACAAGTCTCCACCACCACCATACGTCTACAACTCCCCACCTCCGCCATACTACTCTCCTACTCCTAAAGTAGACTACAAGTCTCCACCACCACCATACGTCTACAGCTCCCCACCTCCGCCATACTACTATCCTACTCCTAAAGTAGACTACAAGTCTCCACCACCACCATACGTCTACAGCTCCCCACCTCCACCATACTACTCTCCTTCTCCTAAAGTAGACTACAAGTCTCCACCACCAACAAACGTCTACAGCTCCCCTCCTCCACCATACTACTCTCCTTCTCCTAAAGTAGACTACAAGTCTCCACCACCACCATACGTCTACAGCTCCCCACCTCCACCATACTACTCTCCTTCTCCTAAAGTAGACTACAAGTCTCCACCACCACCATACGTCTACAGCTCCCCACCACCACCATACTACTCTCCTTATCCTAAAGTAGACTACAAGTTTCCACCACCACCATACGTCTACAGCTCCCCACCTCCACCATACTACTCTCCCTCTCCTAAAGTTGACTACAAGTCTCCACCACCACCATACGTCTACAGCTCCCCACCACCACCATACTACTCTCCCTCTACTAAAGTAGACTACAAGTCTCCACCACCACCACACGTCTACAGCTCCCCACCACCATTATACTACGCTCCTTCTCCTAAAGTAAACTACAAGTCTCCACCACCACCATACGTCTACAGCTCCCCACCTCCACCATACTACGCTCCTTCTCCTAAAGTAGACTACAAGTCTCCACCACCACCATACGTTTACAGCTCTCCACCTCTACCATACTACTATCCTTCTCCTAAAGTAGACTACAAGTCTCCACCACCACCATATGTCTACAGCTCCCCACCACCACCATACTACTCTCCTTCTCCTAAAGTAGACTATAAGTCTCCACCACAACCATCCGTCTATAGCTCCCCACCTCCCCCATACTACTCTCCTTCTCCTAAAGTAGACTACAAGTCTCCACCACCACCATACGTCTACAGCTCCCCACCACCACCATACTACTCTCTTTCTCCTAAAGTAGACTACAAGTCTCCATCACCACCATACGTCTACAGCTCTCCACCTCCACCATACTACTCTCCATCTCCTAAAGTACACTACAAGTCTCCACCACCACCATACGTCTACAGCTCCCCACCTCCCCCATACTATTCTCCTTCTCCTAAAGTAGACTACAAGTCTCCACCACCACCATATGTTTACAATTGATTTTGAATTTTTTTGGTTAACAAGGAACGTGACTGTGAGTTTCTCTTCTAATGTTTATGTATTTTGATTCTTTTGTAGTCGTTGTTTGTTTCACATTCATTTTTAGATTTTGTTAAGTCAATAAACTTTTGGCTACTTTCTAAGTGCAATCGATCCATTAACACAAATCACCATACCAACCCAAAAAGTATTCCCCATACAACTCACCACCATCTCCACCAAACTATTCTACTTCTCGTAACGTACACTACAAGTCTTCACCACCACCATATGTCTACAGCTCCCAACCTCCATCATATTACTCTCCTTCTCCTAAAGTAGATTACAAGTCTCTACCACCACCATACATCTACAGCTCCCCACCTCCACCATACTACTCCTTCTACTAAAGTAAACTACAAGTTTCCACCACCACCACGTCTACAGCTCCCCACCTCCACCATACTACTCTCCTCCTAAAATAGACTACAAGTCTCCACCACCAACATACGTCTACAAAACGCCTTACTATTGATTTTGAATTTTTTTGGTTAACAAGGAACATGACTGTGAGTTTCTCTTCTAATGTTTATGTATTTTGATTCTTTTATTGTTGTTATTTGTTTATCATTCATTTTGAGATTTAGTTAAATCAATAAACTTTTCGCTACTTTTTAAGTGCAATTAATGTTTCTTATTGTTTGATCTCACTGGAAATTTGAAGCTAAGTACGTACATTTCGCTATCCAAGAATAGGGGGGCAGTCCATTAGGCTTAACTATGCAATTTTCATTAGGCTTAGACAACTTTCATTAGTCTTACGGTACATTTTTTTCTTATTGGTGTTGCTTTTTTCATTAATACGTTGTACAGCAATGATCAACATAACAATAACACAAGTGTCTCTTCATAACTTGACACATGAGCATTTTCAAGTGCTTAGGAGATGACACTTCAGCAAAAAAAAAAAAACATCAATAAAAATATTTCATTAATATAAGTCATCAATTTATTTTAACTTTTAAATTTAAACCCATTAAAATCTCAAATATTTTTTATTGTTAATTTTAGTTTTATCTTTTGGCCAAGCCCAAGTCCAAATAATAAATAACAGCAAAAAAAAATTGTTTTGTTTTTTTGTTAAACCTAAATCTAAATAATAAATAACAACAAATAAAAAATCAAATCTTTGTTTTATATTTTTGCCAAACCAAAACTCAAATAATAAATAACAGCAAAAAAATTAAAATTTATAACTATGTGTTTGCTTGATAGAGACGTATATAATTGAAGAAAGTTTAGACTCATCATCAACTATGTTTCCATAACAACAATGCAAAAAGCGTTATGTTATAAGAAGCTCACACATCAGCAAAAATTTGAACCAATAGAAACATAACAATAATACATATTATTAACACACTAATAAAATCAGTTTACTATTTTGCTAACCCATTAAAAAGCTCAAAGTTTACAAAAAAATGGAAGTCGAAAATAAATGAGGAGAAACTCAGACCACCACAGCTTGGAGATTCGCATTTCCAGTGGTTACCGAGAATAAATTTTCTTGGGTTCGGCTGGAATAGAGAATTTTCTGGTTTTGGTAGACAAATGTGATTTTCAGTTTTGGGAGAAAAACCTAATTTCACGTTTTGGCGGAAAAAAACGAATTCTCGGGTTTGGCGGAAAAATGTGAATTTTTGGTTTTGGTGAGAAAAAAAATATGATTTTGACGAGAAAATGCGAGGAAAATGCAATTTTTCAATTTTGACGAAAAATACGATTTATCGGTTTTAATAGAAAATGTAATTTTTTGACTTTTGATAGATAATGTAATTTCTTGATTTTCACGGGAAATTTTGATTTCTTAGTTTTCGCAGGAAATTATAATTTGACAATTTTGGCAGAAAACGCAATTTTTCGGATTACTAGGAAAACAAAAATTTTCGATTTTGGCGGGAATAAACAATTTCTTGGTTTTGATGGGAAATGCAAATTTTCATTTTTTGACATATAATGTGATTTTTTGGTTTTCGAGGAAAAATTTGATTTTTTAGTTTTCGCGGGAAATAAATAACAATTTGTTTTATATAATTTCAAAGGAGGATCAAATGGTAATTTAGTAGAAAAAATAGATTACATTTGCCATTAGCATGAAGATACTTAAAAATGTATTGTTTTATTTACATATACATTTATAGATAGTTAGCTAAACAAATTTGATAGTAGATTATAATTTTGAAAAATAAAAAAAAATTAAGGATATATAATGTTTATTCAGATTTAAAACATATAAATACATAACTTAAGGTAATAAAAAATAAATATAATAATTATTTATATTATAAAAATAATTTTATTATATTAAAAATATATACAAAATCTAAAAAAATATCCCGCAGCGTAGCGCGGGTAAATACCTAGTTCTTGTAATAAATATATTTTTAGGCTGTCAAAAAATACAAATTATCCTTAACGAATTTGGCATATACTGTATGTTTAATCTTTTTTTATAAAAATGACCAACTTCGGGAAAATATTGTCAAACATGGATCCTTTTTTACAATAATTTTAAATACCAGCGCTACCTTTCTATCCATTTAAATTTAGTTATATTTATTAATTATGTTATCTTATTAAAATAGTTATTTGCCATTTAACCCTGGTCATCCCTTGCAATGTCTCTGCTGGAAAGCAAAGACTACGCGGACAAACTTAGAGGCTGCACAGACTCACTTCACCTTTGACTACTACATTAATATAGTGTGGCGATTTGGCGGAGCTGAAGTCATAAAAGAGGTGTCGTAGTTTTTTATGTCCGTAAGGGTAAATGCCGCAAAAATGTTATATTGTCACCAAATAAACTCGGGTTGTGGGGGACAAGAAGACACAAATACAATGATATCCCATGTTTGACAGAAGCAGACATTAGACAGGCACCTGGCGGATTGATGGCGAACATATATTCTTCACGCAGGCGAGAAGCAGAGGCTTCGCAGACACACTTCACCTTTGACTATTATTTTATTTTGATATACTCTGAAGATTTGGGCAGTCGAACTTATTCACGACGCGCTGTCGTTGTTTCTTTCTCTCGGGTAAATGCCGCAAAGTATTATATTGTCACCAGATAAACTCGGGTTTTGGAGGACAAGAAGACACAAATACATCCCATGTTTGACGAGACGCAGACGTAAGACAGGCGTCTGGCGGACTGATGGCAAACATATATTCCTCCCGCATGCGAGAAGCAGAGGCTTCACATTTGCTATTATGATATACTGTGACGATTTGGGCAGTCAAACTCATTTACGATGTGCCGTAGTTGTTTCTCTCTATCTCTCTCGCTCGGATAAATGCCGCAAAAATGTTATAATGTCACCAGATCAACTCGGGTTGTGGGGGACAAGAAGACACAAAGACATCCCATGTTTGACGAGATGCAGATGTAAGACAGGCGTCTGGCGGTCTGATGGCAAAAATATATTCCTCCTGCAAGCGAGAAGCAGAGGCTTCGCAGACTCACTTCACCTTTCACTACTATACTATTATCATATACTGTGACGATTTGGGTAGTCGAACTCATTCACGATGTGTCGTAGTTGTTTCTCTCTCTCTCTCTTGCTCGGGTAAATGCCGCAAAGATGTTATATTGTCACCAGATCAACTCGGGTTGTGGAGGACAAGAAGACACAAACACATCCCATGTTTGACGAGACGCAGACGTAAGACAGGTGTTTGGCGGACTGATGGCGAACATATATTCCTCCCGCAGGCGAAAAGCAGAGGCTTTGCCTTTGCTATTATGATATACTGTAACGATTTTGGCAGTCAAACTCATTCATGACGTGCCGTAGTTGTCTCTCTCTCTCTCTCTCTCTCTCTCTCTCTTTCTCTTTCTTGCTCAGGAAAATGACACAAAAATGTTATATTATCACCAGATCAACTCGGGTTGTGGGGGAAAAAAAGACATAAAGACATCTCATGTTTGACGAGTAACGTAAGACAGGCGTCTGGCGGACTGATGGCAAACATATAGTCCTCCCGCATACGAGAAGTAGAGGCTTTGCCTTTGCTATTATGATATACTGTGATGATTTGGGCAGTCAAACTCATTCACGACGTGCCGCAGTTGTTTCTCTCTCTCTCGCTAGGGTAAATGCCACAAAATGTTATATTGTCACCAGATCAACTCGGATTGTGGGGAACAAGAAGACACAAAAACATCCCATGTTTGATGAGACACAGACGTAAGACAGGCGTTTGGCGGACTGATGACCTACATATATTCCTTCCGCAGGCGACAAGCAGAGGCTTCGCCTTTGCTATGATGATATATTGAGACTATTTGGGCAGTCGAACTCATTCACGACGTGTCGTAGTTGTTTCTCTCTCTCTCTCTCGCTCGGTTAAATGCCGCAAAAATGTTATATTGTCACCAGAACAACTCAGGTTGTGGGGGACAAGAAGACACAAAGACATCCCATGTTTGACGAGACGCAGACGTAAGTGAGGCGTCTGGCGGACTGATGGCGAATATATATTCCTCCTGCAAGCGAAAAGAAGAGGCTTCGCAGACTCACTTCACCTTTCACTAATATACTATTATGATATACTGTGACGATTTGGGTAGTCGAACTCATTCACGACGTGTCGTAGTTGCTTCTCTCTCTCTCTCTCTCTCTCTCTCTCTCTCTCTCTCTCTCTCTCTCTCTCTTGCTTGGGTAAATGCCGCAAAAATGTTATATTGTCACCAGATCAACTCGGGTTGTGGGGGACAAGAAGACACAAAGATATCCCATGTTTGACGAGACATAGACGTAAGACAGGCGTTTGGCTGACTGATGGCGAACATATATTCCTCCCGCAGGCGAGAAGCAGAGGCTTTCCCTTTGCTATAATGATATACTGTGATGATTTGGACAGTCTAACTCATTCACGACGTGCTGTAGTCGTTTCTCTCTCTCTCTCTCTCTCTCTCTCTCTCTCTCTCTCTCTCTCTCTCTCTCTCTCTCTCTGGTAAATGCCTCAAAAATGTTATATTGTCACCAGATCAACTCGGGTTGTGGGGGACGAGAAGACACGAAGAAATCTCATGTTTGACGAGACGCCGATTTAAGATTGACATCTGGCGGATTGATGGCGAACATATATTCCTCCTGTAGGCGAGAAGTAGAGGCTTCACAGACTCACTTCATCTTTGATTACTATACTATTATGATATCCTGTGAAGGTTTAGGTAGTCAAACTCATTCACGACGTGTCGTAGTTGTTTCTCTCACTCTCTCTCTTGCTCAGGTAAATACCACAAGAATGTTATATTGTCACCAGATATACTAAGGATATGGCAGACAGGAAGACACAGACATCCCATGTTTGACGAGACGTAGACGTAAGACAAGCGTCTAGCGGACTGATGGCGAATATATATTCCTCCCGCAGGCAAGAAGCAGAGTCTTCGCATTTGCTATTATGATATACTGTGACGATTTGGGCAGTCGAACTCATGACGTGTCGTAGTTATTTCTTTCTATCTCTCTCGCTCGGGTAAATGCCGCAACAATGTTATAAGGTCACTAGATCAACTTGGGTTGTGGAGGACAAGAAGACACAAAGACATCCCATGTTTGACGAGACGCAGACGTAAGACAGGCGTCTGGCGGACTAATGGCGAACATATATTCCTCTCGCAGACGAGAAGCAGAGGCTTCAGCTTTGCTATTATGATATATTTTGACGATTTAGGCAGTCAAACTCATTCACGACGTGCCGTAGTTGTTTCTCTCTTTCTCTCTCGTTGGGTAAATGCCGCAAAATTGTTATATTGTTACCAGATCAACTCGGGTTGTGGGGGACAAGAAGACACAAAGAAATCCCATGTTTAACGAGACACAGACGTAAGATTGGTGTCTGGCGGACTGATGGCAAACATATATTCCTCCTGCATGCGAGAAGCAGAGGCTTCACAGACTCACTTCACCTTTGACTACTATACTATTATGATATCCTGTAACGATTTAGGTAGTCAAACTCATTCACGACGTGCCGTAGTTGTTTCTCTCACTCTCTCTCTCGCTCAGGTAAATACCGCAAAAATGTTATATTGTCACCAGATATACTCGGGATATGGCAGACAAGAAGATACAAAGACATCCCATGTTTGACGAGACGCTGACTCAAAACAGGCATCTGGCGGACTGATGGCAAACATATATTCCTCCCGCAGGCAAGAAGCAGAGGCTTTGCATTTGCTGTTATGATATACTGTGACGATTTGGACAGTCGAACTCATTTACGATGTGTCGTAGTTGTTTCTCTCTATCTCTCTCGCTCGGGTAAATGCCAATGTTATGATGTCACCAGATCAACTCGGGTTGTGGGGGACAAGAAGACACAAAGACAACTCCTGTTTGACGAGAGTAAACGTAAGACAGGCGCTAGGCGGACTGATGGCGAACATATATTCCTCCCGCAGACAAAAAGCAGAGGCTTCGTCTTTGCTATTATGATATACTGTGACGATTTGGGCAGTCAAACTTATTCACGATGTGCCATAGTTGTTTTTTTCTATCTCTCTTGCTCGGGTAAATGCTGCAAAAATGTTATGTTGTCACCATATCAACTCGGGTTATGGGGGACAAGAAGACACAAAGACATCCTATGTTTCACAAGACGCAGACGTAAGACAGGCGTCTTGCGGACTGATGGCGAACATTTCCTCCCGCAGGCGAGAAGCAGAGGCTTCTCAGACTCACTTCACCTTTGACTACTATACTATTTTGATATACTATAACGCTTTGGGCAGTCGAACACATTCACGACGAATATTTTTTTCTTCTGGCGATTTGGCGAGGACTTCAAAGACCACGTGTCACAGTTTGATTATCACTACACAAACTTGGTTGTACATGTCAGTTTAGCATAACCGATTGATGAGGGCATCCAAGATTTGAGAATAAGGTGACAACACTTGTAAATATATGGAAAAGCGTATCTTTTGGTTGGCGTTTCCAATATAAATATATATCAATTTATTAGGGTTAATTGATTAATAAATGACAATTTTGTTATTATTTCGAAAAGGATTAGTTAAACGGTACTTTCCACAAAAATTGAACCCCTTCTGACAATATTTCCAAACAGGGATCCTCTATTGGAATTAAATTTGCAGAACGAACTATTTTAAGAAATCACTCTATTTTTAAATATTTTTTTCCTTATTATTTATCTTCATGTATAGCATCTAATTCGTAGTTAGTAATATTTTTAAGAATATTTTTTATTTTCCATAAAATAGTTGCCTCCTGATACTACATCTGAAATTGCGTATGATGAACTTTCTGATCATCTATATGACATCTTAGCCAGTGCAGAGATTTTAGAGTGCAAAGCCCATCAGCTGAAGCCCAATCTGAAATTGACCTAGGGTTCTACCTTATTACCCTATAAATTCAGATGCCTTACTTCAGAATTTCAATTCAGAAGTTCCCAATGAAACTTTGTCCAGTTTTCTTCAGAGCTTCTCGCCGGAAAAATCGTTGGAGTAGTCACTAGAGCTTCTGCCATTCGACCACTACCGCCCATCACTGTTGTCGGAGGACCGCTGGAGTTGTAGACTGTTGCCGGCCGCCATCGTCTTCTGAAAATTGCCTGAGTCACCGAAAATGTGCTCCTTCGCACCGTCTTCTCTAATCGGTGGTTGTTTCTCATCTTAGACTCCGTGATCCATTCAATTGATAGGGCTCAGGTTTTATCCAAATAATTTACTACTGCAAGTGCACAGCAAAGCAGTTGTAGTATACGGAGTTATTGAATCCCAAGGGAGTAAGTAAACTACACTATAGAATTTAAGTTCAGATTAAGCTAAGTGATAAGTAGTGTATGTAATGCGAAATAACGAATAAGATGAAAGCAGGCGATTTTGATTTGATCTAAGGCTGAGAAAACTAAAAGCGCTAAGTCAGGCAAATCGCAGGTTGAATCCGAGAATGTAGAATGCATGAAATTAGGAATGAATAAGAACCGTCTTGAACATGAATCGCAAATATATAACTAATCAGTTCTCATTGCAGAAGTTAACTATGTCTAAATCACAGAGTTTCAAATCTCTTTGCAAACCCTAACAACCTAAACATGCAGTAATGATCAGATTTAATTGTTCACAAAACTCCTAAGCCAAATCTCTTTGCACTAAGTCGTTTAGCTCATCTAGTGCTAGATCAGGTAATCAATAATGCTCTCACATCTATTAAACAACTTAGGTTTCGAATTTCCATATGATATGTCTAAGAAAATCGGTTTTAAAGCAAGCACAGATGAAGAACCAACAGATATTCCTAACAGGTAGCGATTTATACAAACTCATCATCAACCCTTGAAAAGCCCTAACTTAACTAGCAGATTACTCAGACATGATCATGGAATCACAAAGCATAGCTGAATAAAATTGCATTAAAGAGAAAGAGTAAAAGTTAAAGGGGTTCGAAATCTTCTCAAAAGAGTACAGGATCTGTTTCCTCAAAAAGCTCTAAATAAATCTCTCTCTCTAAAGCTCTCTGAATTCTAGAATCTAAGATAAAAGCCAACAACTGCTGAAAACCTAATATATGCAAGCTAAAACACGAGCTGGAACACTTTTGTAAATACTGGAATTTATGGGGAAAAAGTGCAAATAATCCTCCATCTTTTAAAAACAAGCCACGATCCTTACCAGCTATGGGTGACGAGCGTCACCCTTGAGTGGTGACGAGCGTCACCCTTGAGTGGTGACGAGCGTCACCCAAGCCAACATTCGCCTTCTGAGTTGCACACTTCATGGTTGTATCTTGCAATGCTCAAAAAAGCTTTAAAACCTCCAATTGTGCTCCAGTTGTACTATAACCTGCAAAGACTCTACTAGGACTCTAAAAAAAACCAAAAAGAAATAATAAAAAGGACTTATACCATGGTTAAAAACCATAAAAACCATGATATATCATCAATGAGGACCCGCAGTGATGAGATCTACTTTCCTTCCGTTTCTACTTTAGATCTGAGACTAAGGTGAGGACCGGTAACTAAAGAGATGACTTTTTTAGTCTCTGGAACCCCCTCGACGCACAACGCAATCATGGGAACACCCTGGATCAACGCGATGGCCGCTATCCCATCCATATACCACTAATCCCTGCGGTTCCTCACGGCAAACAGCATGGTGGAAAGCAAGGGGACAAAGGTCAGCAATACCCCCACAGATGACCCACCTGCCCATGCCGTTCTGTAGCAATTATAGTGTGGCGATGAGCCACCAACAACCCTGTCAGCGGAGGAAGATGTCGAGGATATCCTCGCCTCGGCAGACCACCCAGACAGAAAGCTGAGAATCGGGAAAGGACTGGACCTAACGCTGTGCGAAGACATCTACGCCTTAGTCCGGGTGAACCTAGACTGCTTTGCTTAGACGCACGCCGACATGCCGAGAATCAGGTCAGAGACCATCTCGCATCACCTTGACGGCCACCCGGACTGTACCCCGGACAAGCAAAAACACCGGAACTTTGCGGCAGAGTGCGACGTGGCCATCAGCGAAGATGTCCAGAAGCTACTCCAAGAGGTATTCATGCGCGAAGTCCAGTACCTGGAGTGGCTAGCTAATGTCGTCGTAATCAAGAAGAAAAATGGGAAATGGCAGATCTGCATCGACTACTCGGACCTCAACAAGGCTTGTCCCATGGACTCCTTCCCACTCCCGTACATCGATACACTCGTGGACGCCACCGCCGAGCACGATCTGCTCAGCTTCATGGATACGTTTTCCGGCTAAAACCAGATCCGAATGCATCCGCCAGACGAGGGAAAGACAGCATTTGTAACCTCACAGAGAACATATAGCTACACCATGATGCCATTCGGACAAAAAAATGCGGGGGCAACGTACCAGCACCTCATGAACAAGATTTTTGCCGCGGAATAGGAAAAACAATGGAAGTCTACGTTGATGACATGATCGTCAAATCACTCAGCCGAGATCTACAACTCGCCTTCTCCTAAAGTAGACTACAAGTCTAAACCACCACCATATGTCTACAGCTCGCCTCCTCCACCATACTACTCTCCTTCTCCTAAAGTAGACTACAAGTCTCCACCACCAACATATGTCTACAGCTCCCCACCTCTACCATATTATTCTCCTTCTCCTATAGTACACTACAAGTCTCAACCACCACCATACGTCGACAGCTCCTACCTCCCCCATACTACTATTCCTCTCCTAAAGTAGACTACAAGTCTCCACCACCACCATACGTCTACAGCTCCCCTCCTCCACCATACTACTCTCCTTCTCCTAAAGTAGACTACAAGTCTCCACCACCACCATACGTCTACAGCTCCCCACCTCCACCATACTATTCTCCTTCTCTTAAAGTATACTACAAGACTCCACCACCACCATACGTCTACATCTCCACAACTCCACCATACTACTCTCTTTCTTCTAAAGTAGACTACAAGTCTCCACCACCACCATACGTCTACAGCTCTCCACCTCCACCATACTACTCTCCTTCTCCTAAACTAGACTACAAGTCTCCACCACCATCATACATCTACAGCTCCCCACCACCACCATACTACTCTCCTTCTTCTAAGGTAGACTACTGATACGGACCTCAAGTCCTCAACAGCCAAGGAGCACGGATCCAGAAGTCATGAAGTGGAGAACATGAAGCTGAGGAGGGCTAAGGAAACATGCGAGTGGAATTCAGCTCAAACGGAGGTTGATATCAAACATTCAAACCCAAACAACACTTGGAGAGCATACTCAACTCATCCATAGTTCACCACGAAGAAGAATCAGCTAAAAAGGAGTTCACATGAAGAAGATATTGAAGATACAAATTGGCAGATCTTTAATAGACCCGATGGAGACATGCGACCACTAATAAAATCATTCCGGCCAAACGACGACGAATCAAGCCACAAGACCGGATGTTTTGAAAACATAACTCATCAGGGAACTGAGACGAATTGGATTTATACCAAAATGAATTACGTTTTAAAAGTTATTCAACTTCTAAACCTGAGGACGCTCTGCTTGCCTTATTTGAGAGCTGGCAAGTTTAATCACTTACAAAGAAGGCTTTGGCGACCATGAGAGACATCTAAGCATTCAGGAGACACATCTAACAATCCAGGAGAGTCAGGAAACATCTTCTAATGCTTATACTTACCATATATGAAAGCATTTACACTTGGCTCCATAACTCACCAACGGCTACTTCCCTTCATGATCCGAGATAAGCAAGACTTGGAGAGATTATTCATCATCAAGCTATCAAGATACAAGTCAACAAATCCCTTTCATTCAGATTTTTGCTCATCTCTCATTAAATGGGTCAAAAATCCTTTTAATCTCTTTTTGATCTTTCTCTGATTTTTGCATAATTCTCTCTTTAGAGTTATTGCCTAGGACGTGTACTGAGCCTATATAAGCTCATTGCTGTTTCATTTGTAGAACAACCACTTTTATCTAAGAAAGTATAAAACTTTTGTTCTTTTTATTCAAAGAGTCTTCTTTGTTTAAACAACTTGTCTTTAGATTTAATTGAGAGATTCCTTTGTTTCTACTGATTCTTAGAATAGATTTGTTTGTGTGATTCAGACAAGGCTAGTTCCAACGGCTGAGTGAGTCAGCCATCCCACCGACTGAGCGAGTCAGTCAATTCACCATCTTTCCGCTTAAACCATATTCCATCCGACTGGCTGAAAGAGAGTGACTTTAGTCCAGCTTTCAGCCTCCAGATGATACGATCCTCAAAGGCTGAAAGATGGACTAAAGTCACTCTCTTTCAGCCAGTCGGATGGAATATGGTTGAAGTGGAAAGATGGTGAATTGACTGACTCGCTCAGTCAGTGGGATGGCTGACTCACTCAGCCGTTGGAACTAGCCTTGTCTGAATCACATAAATAAATTTATTCCAAGAATCAGTAGAAACAAAGGAATCTCTCAATTGAATCTAAAGACAAGTTGTTTAAACAAAGAAGACTCTTTGAATAAAAAGACCAAAAGTTTTATACTTTCTTAGATAAAAGTGGTTGTTCTACAAATGAAACAGCAATAAGCTTATATAGGCTCAGTACACGTCCTAGGCAATAACTCTAAAGAGAGAATTATGCAAAAATCAAAGAAAGATCAAAAAGAGAGATTAAAGGGATTTTTGACTCATTTAATGAGAGATGAGCAAAAGGCTGAATGAAAGAGATTTGTTGACTTGTATCTTGATAGCTTGATGATGAATAATCTCTCCAAGTCTTGCTTATCTCGGATCATGAAGGGAAGTAGCTGTTGGTGAGTTATGGAGCCAAGTGTAAATGCTTCCATATATGGTAAGTAGAAGTGTGACATGATCCGCCTGATCATGTGGGTGCTGGTGTATTGGAAGATGTTTCCTGACTCTCCTGGATTGTTAGATGTGTCTCCCGAATGCTTAGATGTCTCTCCTGGTCGCCAAAGCCTTCTTTGTAAGTGATAAAACTTATCAGCTCTCAAATAAGGCAAGCAGAGCGTCTTCCGGATTAGAAGTTGAATAACTTTTAAACTGTAATTCATTTTGGTATGAATCTAATTATTCTAGGTTCCCTGATGAGTTAAGTTTCCAAAACATCCGGTCTTGTGGCTTGATTCGTCGTCGTTTGGCCGGAATGATTTTATTAGTGGTCGCATGTCTCCATCGAGTCCATTGAAGATCTGCCAATTTGTATCTTCAATATCTTCTTCATGTGAACTCCTTTTTAGCTGATTCCTCTTTGTGGTGAACTCTGGATGAGTTTAGTATGCTCTCCAAGTGTTGTTTGGGTTTGAATGTTTGATATCAACCTCCATTTGAGCTGAACTCCACTCGCATGTCTCCTTAGCTCTCCTCAGCTTCATGTTCTCCACTTCATGACTCATGGATCCGTGCTCATTGGCTGATGAGGACTTGAGGTCCGTATCATACTCACCCTCTTTAAAAGGTTTCGACCTGGAAACTATATCTCCTGCACCAAAAAAGAGCAAGTTAATTTTCATTATATTTTGGGAGTTTAGAGTCTTACCTAGATGCATCTTTGGTTTGGTGAAGTGTGGAACGTCTGGTGGTTCTCCTTTAAGCAGGAAGGATAGGATAGCTCCTATGTTCCGGCCTGGGTCGTGGTTCCTCTGTTTTGTGGCCTTGATAACCTTGGTCTTGTCCACCTTGGGTGGTGATGCATGTTTGCTTTGGTTTAACAACAAGTTCTCCTCTTGTGGATGGTCTTTATGTTTTATGTCCATAGTACCTGAAACAATCTCAAATCTTTGGACAAGAAACAAGTGAATTATGGGTTTTTTACAAAACTTTAAACTTGTTAAACCTAATTTCTTTTGTTGCTGTTTTAGAAAAGGTATTGAGTTCTCACTTTCTCTTATTTCTAGTAAGTTCATTACATTTGAATCTTCAGAAATAATTTTAGTAAATGAATAACTTACCTGAGGAACACTCTTAGTGTTCTTGCTTCTCAAATCTGTAAAGTGATGTAATATTTGATCTGGAGGCTTCTCTTTGAGGTTGTCTCTTCTCTCAGCAATCTTTGTATGGTCTATACCTGATAATTTTCTCAAGGACAAAAGCAAGTGAATCATATCTGAGTTTAAAATCATAGAAATAGGCTTTGAAATATTTAAACTCACAGTGCTATTATTAGCTAGTTGTAGCATCAATTGCTCTTTGTTTACTTGAACTCTATGGTTGCTGATTTCCTCAAGTCTAGAGATGACTAAGGATTTTCCAGGACTATCAGAATTTTGTTTAGAGTCTTGAGCTTTTAACTGATATGAATCAATAAAAGTTAGCTCATGTTTCTCATCAAGGCGTGCTGGTGGTGGCATTGCATCTGATTGCTCTTCTTCTACTTTCTCATCCTCCATTGGAAAAGTCAATTGTAGAATCTGATCTCCTTGTAGCCTTTCTTCTTTGTTGGTTTCCCTTTCTTTTTCCTGGATCAAAACTCTCTGGCAAAGACAAGTGCATAAGTCTAGCATTGGGAACTAAAAATTCAGAATGAGATAAACTATCACTATCAATAGATTTTTTCTGTTTTCTCTACTAGTGAGGTTTCTTCCAACATTTTCTTAATAGAACAATTTGCAGCAAAGTGTCCTCTCTTATGGCACTTATAACATGTTGGTTCTTTAGAATTAACAAAGTTAGAAAACTTACCTTGGGTTGGTGGGTCTGGTGACTTTGTTATAGCCTTAGATCTGGATGTTGTTGTCTTGGATGCAACTTCTTTTTCTAAGGGCTCATCTTTGGAGCTTGGTTTCTGGTTCATTGCAAGGCTTATTGCTGGTGTCTCTTCTCCCTTGGACGTGGGCTCCTTTAAACCTGTTCCAGCTTTCTTTGAAAAAGACAAGCACATCATACCAGTGGTAAATACTAATTCATCTAAAGAAGGACTTAGTTGAGCTTTTGCTTGAACAATGATTTGTTCTGGTTTTTCTGTTGACTTGCATAATGCTCTTTGGCTGAGAACAGCCTTCTTCTCCATGGCTTGATACTTCTCTACAAATTCTTTATGCATCCTTGCCTTGAGGTTACTCCAATCTAGAATTGGCTTCTTGTGGACAGTTGGAATGTTTTCTTTTAACTACCATTCATAAGCTTGTTTTGTAAGTCCTTGGACAGCTTGTTGTAACTTCTTTTCCTTGAGAATGTTGTTTGATTGTAGCCACTTCTCCGTAGTACTTTCCCAACTGAGATACACATCAGGGTTCTCTCAATGTATTTTGGTTCTTTTGTTGTCCTAGTTTGTTTCACATTCATTTTGAGGTTTTGTTAAATTAATAAAGTTTTGTCTATTTTTTAAGTGCAATCAATGTTTGTTATTGTTTGATCTCACTGGAAATTTGAAGGTTAGTACGTACATTTCGCTATCCAAGAATAGGGGACAGTCCATTAGGCTTAACTATGCAATTTTCACTAGGCTTAGGCAACTTCCAATAGTCCTTCGGTACATTAGTTGCTTGTTGGTGTTGCTTTTTTTCATTAATACGTTGTACACCAATGATTCTTGTAATAAATATATTTTGAGGTGTATCCTTAACAAATTTGGCATATACTGTATGTTTAACCTTTCCTTATATAAAAAAAAGAAAATCTGTGTAGTATATTTATTATAAAAAGAAATCCTATAGGTTATGTTAGTTCAAATACTCAAGTTACTCGCCTCTAAAAGATCTCAACACCTCTTGATAAGAGTGGTCACAAAAAAAAATTATTCGTCTTTATAAGGACAGGTTTATAAATCACTTTTCCTTTCAAAAAATTTAGAGAGGGTATTGAAACTAAAATTTTAAAAAACTTTATGATTAATTTAAAATTTTATTTTATTTAACTAATGATTTCTAAATGTCTTACCAAAATCTATACTATGAAACATGAAATTTATATAAAATCAAATAAAGTCACATAAACTTCTATGTTAATAAATTAAGAATTTGCAAAAATGAAATAAAATCCTGTGTTACTGAAAATATTTGAAATAGTAGATATTTGAAACTATTGAATGCTTTTAAAGATTTGGTTGAGTTTGTTAGTTAAAAATATAAAAAAAAAAAATCTCAATGTTTTAGATGTAATTTCATATAATTTTAATATCAAATCATATAAACTTCCCTAATCCACATAAAATCATCTAAAAATCATAAAACATTTCAAAAAAAATTCAAATTCTCTCAATTTATAGATTAAACAAGGTAATAACCTGCACTCTGTGCGGGATAAAATAATAATTATTTATTTAATATAGTATAATTTTAAAATCATATAATAAAAATAAAATTGATTTTATATGAGTTGTTTATAACATTATGCTGTAATATTGAAAAACTAATTTTTTTTGCTTATTTTATAAAATATATGGTAATTTAATTCTAATATAAATTAGTTAAAAAATTTATATATATGCGCAATCTGGATAGAAATACGAAGTCACTCTATATATTTTCTATAACTCATGATTAATAACATGATCTTAAAGTTCAAAAAAAATAGAGGGATCATATTTTGATTAAATTATTTAGTATCTAATGTGTTATGATAATAATAAAAAAAATTTACTACTTCCTCTGTTTTACAATATTAGTTTTTTAAGGTTTTGTTTTGTTTCACAATATAATTATTTTCATTTTTTTTACTACTTCCTATGAATACTATGTGATCGATTTTTCAGTTTTTCAAAATTAATTGAAATATATTTAATTTATATACTAAATGATTACTTATTTTAAGAAAAAGTTGCTTTTTAATCTTTGTGCTTTGATGCAAAACAACTTATATTTTGAAATAGAGAGTATTAAAAATTGTAAAAATAAAGTTTGATTATAAGATTTTATAATCAAATTTAATATTACTTATGAGAATGTAAATACATATTTAGATTAATCCATAAAAACTATAGTCATAAGAATATTAACTTTTAAGAAAAGAAAATTAATGTGAAATTTATTTTAAATACTAAATATACATAAGGATTATATAAAAATAGATTATATTTTTATTGTTTTTAATAAATTATCTATAATTGTATATAACTGAGTCAATACTTATACATTCTTAACTTTTTGATTCAATAAAAATATTTTTAATATCACAAAGTTTAATAAAATTATTATATAATATACTTACAAAAATATTTTAGTTTTTTACCAAGTTATTTTGTTGTATAAATTAAAAATTTATAATATTTAACTTTTTAATCAAATAAAATATTCATAATATTATATTCTATTAACATATTCAACTATTTTTTATAGTTCAACTTTTTATTAATATTTTTTACTTATTATAAAGTTTAAATATTTATATTATTTGGCTAATAAAACCAAAAATAATTATAATAATAATATCTATTAAATTAAGCATCCTGTTTTTTTATCATTTATGTATTTTTATATTGATTTATGAATCATCTATCTACACATCCTTATTTTTAATTTTAGTCTTTCAAAACATACTTTTATTTATTAATCATTTGAGTAATTAATATTTTTTTTATGAAATTCGAATTATAACACATAATATATATATATATATACTATAGGAACGATGTGATGATTTATTTTTCTACAAAAATAAAAGATAAAATATATTATTTATAGAAATAATTAATATGATATATTTTTGGTAAGAAATAGAAAAAGAGAATATCTTGATGAATCATCATCAATTATATATAAACTAATGTATAACCAAATTAATGTGAGTGGCATAACATGTAATTAATTTAGTAGCATAAGTCTATTTTATAACTTTGCTGAAAATGATTATAGTGATGACACATCAGCAAAATGGCACCATTGTAATATTTTACAAAATTAGTTATTCTTTAAAAATGCTTCTCTTTTAATATATAGGGGATACACCCCCTTAGTACATTATTATATATGTATTTTATTGAATTTGGATATTCAAATCAAATTATGTTTATCTCTCCATATTGTTATTTTTATACTTATAAAGTACAAAACAATTGATAACTGTGCATTTGATACTTGTCATTTATTATTTTAAATTTAATTTTAGTTTTGTTTTCGGCAAAAGTTAAACTCAATTCCTCCTTACAAAATAAATAATATGAAAGGTTTCTCGAAACATCATCCCTCCACCCATGATCCTTCTTCATCGTTCACAATCTTTTTTTTCCCCAGATTCCTATTTATCTCAGATTCGACCTTGCCTAATCTTGTGTGTTTGACACTTGATATTTTTGCAAAAATATTTTGTAGAATAACTCATGCCTTGAAGTACAACCTTGAATCATCCTAAAATAATATTGTGAAGTTGCGCGATATATTGTTGAAAGTGCCAAAGCATTATCTATAGACATTTGCTTCTCTTGTTTTGACCACTCTGATTTTGGTTTCGGAGCAGCGACTGCATCAGAACCTGCATCAGTGTTTGTAAGAACTTGTCTAGGTGGCTCCCATCCAGATTAGATCATTGTCCATACATTCTCATGAATTTCCTTCACGTCATGTATCATCTTCCCTTTCCGATGACCCTAGTTTTCTGACCCCAAAACCAATGCTCTTTCTGCACAGAAAATCACTGTTTGTGTCTTTGTGTTGTCTTCAGGATCGTTCCCTGATACTTCTTTGTGTTGTCTTCAGGATCGTTCCCTGATATTTCCTTCACGTCATGTATCATCTTCACTTTGTGTTGTCTTCAAGATACTTCTTGAATACAACTAAATGTAGTATCCAATATTGGAATTATATGACTCTAAGAACCTTTTAACTCGACCCTAATATAGTCTTAACTCTCTATGAGATCCTTAAGATTATCCATGCCAATCTATACTCAGGACTCTCAAGTCAAAACAGTTGCAAACCTTTTTCTCTAACTCTCAAGTCTCAAGGGATGTTTTCTGTCAATCCTATAGACCCCATACTAAATAAATTATGTGCCTCCCTCTCCAGTTGGCAAGGCTAACAGCCTTCCAAAATCTAATAAGAAATATTCCTTTTGATTAATCCTAATCAAAGAAATATTCTTTTTTCCCATTAAATCTTCCACATATCTTTACATATCTTTTTTTACTTATTCTTTATCTTTATGTAAAGCATCTCACCTCGTGGTCAATAATATCCTTAAGAGTATTTATATTTTCCACAAAATCGTTGCCTCCTGATATTACGTCTGATATTGCGTATGATGAACCTTCTGATCATCTATATGATATTATAGCCGGTGCAGAAGATTTTGGCGTGCAAAGCTCATCAGCTGAAGCCCAATCTGAAGTTGACCTAGAGTTCTACCTTATTCCCCTATAAATTCAGATGCCTTCCATTAGAATTTCCATTCCGAAATTCCCAATGATGCATTGTCCAGTTTTGGAAAAGTTGTTGGAGTAGTCACTAGAGCCGCTGCCACTCGACCACCGCGGCCCGTCACTGTTGTCGGAGGACCGCTAGAGTTGTAGACCGCTGCCGGCCGCCATCGTCATCGGAAAATCGCCCGAGTCACCGAGAACGTGCTCATTTGCTCTGTATTCTCGAATCAGTGGTTGTTTTTTGTCTTAGCCTTCATGATCCGTTCAATGAGGTCCCGCAGTTATGAGGTCTAATTTCCTTCCGTTTCTACTTCAGATCTGAGACTAAGGTAAGGATCGGTTGTGATCTATCTCTTTTATATTCATATTCGTTTCATACTGAGTAGTCCATCGTTAATGCGTGCATGCCTGCGCTGTATCTAGATGAATACATGTATTTGATTATTGCTTGAACCTGATGAATAACCCGTTAATAACACTATAATAATTAAATGTTATACTGTTGTTGGTGATTGATGGACTTAATAATTTAGGTTGAATGAAGTATGAATAGTGTTTGCGGGTGTTTGTATTGTGTGAAGGAAATCATTTGCAGGTTAAGATAAGCTGTAGGATCCTTTTATGTTATGTGTTGTACCGGATATAGGAGGCGTGTGGAGCTCCATAGTCCATCGTCTGTGACTTGTCGAGCCCTGCGTCGTGAGGACGGACAGCGTGTGTGCCGCTCTATGCCACGGGGTGTGCGCTGGTAAAGGTATGGATGCACCAGTTCGGTTTAGGATGCTATTTATTGATCTATGAGTGTTTTCGGACGTGATCACTTGTGTGTATTAGCTTAGTACTTTCGTATGGAATGGTCATGCATGAGCGAGATGTATGTCATAGGTCCCTAGGACCTGCCCTCGCTGAGTATTATTAGAATACTCATTCCTCTTCTTTGCAGGTGAGCGCACAGACATTCAAGAGTGGTCACTCAGCTTGGTGTTGGTTTTGGGAGGACACGGATTTATTTTATTATTCGTTATTTATTTTAAAGAGGCATATAATCAAAAAATTAAATATATGAACACGAAGCACCAAGATCTTAGCAAGAAAATCTTTTTCTAAACCAAACGTGTATGCACGTCAAAGTTGAATAATTTTATAGGTTTCATTACTATTATTTTCCTTAATAATATTTATAATTTTATAAACAAAAATAGAAGAAAACTACATATTATATTTGAAATTATTTTATATAGAAAAAATTCTATAAATCTATTATAGTTTTGAAAATTTTATAAGATATCACCAAAAAAAAAAGACTTAAACCAAATTATTTATACAGATCTGCGTGCTGCACGGGTTAAAAACCTAGTCAATATAAAAAAGTATAAGTAACAGAAAAATAAAAATAAACTTAATTAACATAAAAAGAACTTAACTAATAAAAAAAGATGAAGCTTTAAACTAGATATTTAAGAAATTAATTTTTTTTTAAAAAACAGATAAAACATAAATTATGTTTTACAAAATGTTAATATAACTAAAATCAAAATTAATATCGAAAAAGTTCATTTTAAAAATAAATTGTTCTAAAAAAAATTGACTTGATATCTAAACTAGCTATTTAATAAATCAATATAAAATAATCTCATTAACAGAAAGAAGAAAAAAAAGAGAGAGAAAAAATTATGTCTGTAAAAATGTTGATATTTACAAAACATTTGTATTTCAAAATAAAACAGGAATCAATATCAAAAAGGTATATTAACAAATGAATAAATTCAAATAAAAATACTAACTTGATATATAGGCTAACATTTTTAAAAATATAAGAAACTTAACCAAAAAAAAAACTAAATGTTGCAGTAATGTTTTGAGAAAAGTCTACATAAAATTTAGAATGAACAGTTATAATATGTCAAATCAGCATTATAACTAAAATAAAAATTAATATTAAAAAAGCAAATTTAAAAAAGAAAAAAGCATAAAAGTAAAAGAAATTAATTTGATATCTATGCTACCTATTTTCAGAATCAACAACAAAATAGTTTAATCAGAAACAAATATATATAAAAGTCCTAAGTATATCAAATATACAAAACAAATTTGTATAAATTAAAATAAAATATAAAATTACTATCAGATGATGTAAAGTATCAGATTTCTAAAGTATTTGTATCGACAATGAATAACTATCTACAGTTGCATTATAAATTTACTTGATATCTATACTAGCTATTTAAGAAATCGATATAAAATAATCTCATTAACAAAAAACAAAGAGAAAATTATGTCTGTAAAAATGTTGATATTTACAAAACAATTATGTTTGAAAATAAAGTAGGAATCAATATCAAAAAGACTAAATTAATGAAGGAAGAAAAGTCATATAAAAACACTAACTTGATATTTAGGCTGAATATATAAGAAACTTAAACAAACAGAAAAAACTAAATGATGCAGTAATCTTTTGAGAAAAGTCTACATAAAATTTAGAATGAACAGTTATCGTATGTCAAATCAGTATTAAAACTAAAATAAAAACTAATATTAAAAAAGAAATTTAAAAAAGAAAAAGCATTCAATTAAAAGAAATTAATTTGATGTATATGCTACCTATTTTTAGAATCAACAACAAAAGAGTTTAATCTTGAGTATATCAAACATACAAAACAAATTTATATAAATTAAAATAAAATATAAAATTACTATCAAAAGATGTAAAGTATCAGATTTCTAAAGTATTTGTATCGGCAATGAATAACTATCTACAGTTGCAATAGATTTAGAGAAGTTGCTAAATCAAACATATTCTTTAAATATATAATCTACAGAGATTAATGCATTGGATGCTTCTGATTTAAAAACTAACAAAAAATAATAATACATCAATAACTCTATATATTTATTATAGTATTAATAATTTAATAAATAATAACTAAAAAAACAAATTAAACTAAACCATTAATATAGACTCACACGTAACATGAATTAAAAACCTGGTTAAATAAAATATAATACAGATTATGAAACAAATATGTTGTGGCTAAAATAATCAGTAATAAATGGTTTCATTTCATTTTTTCAATTTAGTTACTTGTGTCGATATCAATAAAATAAAATAAGAAAAAAAAAACATCGAAAATTTAAGGAAAATTGCACGACACTCTGTTAACTTTAAGATTCTCTACAAATCATTACTTTTTCAAACAAACAACTTAGCACGTCTTCTAAATGTGTTTGAAAGTGCCACACACGAACCCAACTGGGAAAGATAATATAATGTTTACACACAAAAAAAACGATTGTATATAAAAGGGTTTCATGTTGAACTACATTATAACAACAACAAAAACAACTAACAAGGCAGCTATAGGTAGGATGAGATCTTCAAGAATGATGGGGTTAGGGCCTTGCATGGTTTATGTCGTGGTCTTTAGTGCCATCGCAGTTTCAGCCTACCCATACTCATCCCCTCCAACACCACAATACCATTCCCCAATCCATAAACACAAATCATCATACCAACCCAAAAAGTATTCCCCATACAACTCACCACCACCGCCATCAAACTATTCTCCTTTTCCTAAGGTACACTACAAGTCTTCACCACCACCATATATCTACAGTTCCCCACCTCCCCCATACTACTCTCCTTCTCCTAAAGTAGACTACAAGTCTCCACCACCACCATACGTCTACAGCTCCCCACCACCACCATACTACTCCCCTTATCCTAAAGTAGACTACAAGTTTCCACCACCACCATACGTCTACAGCTCCCCACCACTACCATACTACTCCCCTTCTCCTAAAGTAGACTACAACTCTCCACCACCACCATACGTCTACAGCTCCCCACCACCACCATACTACTCTCCTTCTCCTAAAGTAGACTACAAGTCTCCACCACCACCATACGTCTACAGCTCCCCACCACCACCATACTACTCTCCTTCTCCTAAAGTAGACTACAAGTCTCCACCACCACCATACATCTACAGCTCCCCACCTCCACCATACTACTCTCCTTCTCCTAAAGTAGAATACAACTCTCCACCACCACCATACGTCTATAGCTCCCCACCTCCCCCATACTACTTTCCTTCTCCTAAAGTAGAATACAAGTCCCCACCACCACCATACGTCTACAGCTCCCCTCCTCCACCATACTACTCTCCTTCTCCTAAAGTAGACTACAAGTCTCCACCACCACCATACGTCTATAGCTCCCCACCTCCACCAAACTACTCTCCTTCTCCTAAAGTAGACTACAAGTCTCCACCACCACCATACGTTTACAGCTCCCCACCTCCACCATACTACTCTCCTTCTCCTAAAGTAGACTACAAGTCTCCACCACCACCATACGTCTACAGCTCCCCACCACCACCATACTACTCTCCTTCTCCTAAAGTAGACTACAAGTCTCCACCACCACCATACGTCTACAGCTCCCCACCACCACCATACTACTCTCCTTCACCTAAAGTAAACTACAAGTCTCCACCAACACCATACGTGTACAACTCCCCACCACCACCATATTATTCCCCTTCTCCTAAAGTAGGCTACAAGTCTCCACCACCACCATACGTCTACAGCTCCCCACCACCACCATACTACTCCCCTTATCCTAAAGTAGACTACAAGTCTCCACCACCACCATACGTCTACAGCTCCCCACCACCACCATACTACTCCCCTTCTCCTAAATTAGACTACAACTCTCCACCACCACCATACGTCTACAGCTCCCCACCACCACCATACTACTCTCCTTCTCCTAAAGTAGACTACAAGTCTCCACCACCACCATACGTCTACAGCTCCCCACCACCACCATACTACTCTCCTTCTCCTAAACTAGACTACAAGTCTCCACCACCACCATACGTCTACAGCTCCCCACCACCACCATACTACTCTCCTTCTCCTAAAGTAGACTACAAGTCTCCACCACCACTATACGTCTACAGCTCCCCACCTCCACCATACTACTCTCCCTCTCCAAAAGTAGACTACAACTCTCCACCACCACCATACGTCTACAATTCCCCACCACCACCATACTACTCTCCCTCTACTAAAGTAGATTACAAGTCTCCACCACCACCATACGTCTACAGCTCCCCACCACCACCATACTACGCTCCTTCTCCTAAAGTATACTATAAGTCTCCACCACCACCATACGTCTACAGCTCCCCACCTCCACCATACTATGCCCTATCTCCTAAAGTAGACTACAAGTCTCCACCACCACCATACGTTTACAGCTCTCCACCTCCACCATACTACTCTCCTTCTCCTAAAGTAGACTACAAGTCTCCACCACCACCATACGTTTACAGCTCCCCACCTCCACCATACTACTCTCCTTCTCCTAAAGTAGACTACAAGTCTCCACCACCACCATACGTCTACAGCTCCCCACCACCACCATACTACTCTCCTTCTCCTAAAGTAGACTACAAGTCTCCACCACCACCATACGTCTACAGCTCCCCACCACCACCATACTACTCTCCTTCACCTAAAGTAAACTACAAGTCTCCACCAACACCATACGTGTACAACTCCCCACCACCACCATATTATTCCCCTTCTCCTAAAGTAGGCTACAAGTCTCCACCACCACCATACGTCTACAGCTCCTCACCACCACCATACTACTCCCCTTATCCTAAAGTAGACTACAAGTCTCCACCACCACCATACGTCTACAGCTCCCCACCACCACCATACTACTCCCCTTCTCCTAAAGTAGACTACAACTCTCCACCACCACCATACGTCTACAGCTCCCCACCACCACCATACTACTCTCCTTCTCCTAAAGTAGACTACAAGTCTCCACCACCACCATACGTCTACAGCTCCCCACCACCACCATACTACTCCCCTTATCCTAAAGTAGACTACAAGTTTCCACCACCACCATACGTCTACAGCTCCCCACCACTACCATACTACTCCCCTTCTCCTAAAGTAGACTACAACTCTCCACCACCACCATACGTCTACAGCTCCCCACCACCACCATACTACTCTCCTTCTCCTAAAGTAGACTACAAGTCTCCACCACCACCATACTACTCTCCTTCTCCTAAAGTAGACTACAACTCTCCACCACCACCATACGTCTACAGCTCCCCACCACCACCATACTACTCTCCTTCTCCTAAAGTAGACTACAACTCTCCACCACCACCATACGTCTACAGCTCCCCACCACCACCATACTACTCTCCTTCTCCTAAAGTAGACTACAAGTCTCCACCCCCACCATACGTCTACAGCTCTCCACCTGCACCATATTACTCTCCTTCTCCTAAAGTACACTACAAGTCTCCACCACCACCATATGTCTACAGCTCCCCACCTCCCCCATACTATTCTCCTTCTCCTAAAGTAGACTACAAGTCCCCACCACCACCATATGTTTACAAAACGCCTTACTATTGATTTTGAGTTTTTTTGGTTAACAAGGAATGTGACTGTGAGTTTCTCTTCTAATGTTTAAGTATTTTGATTCTTTTCTTGTCGTTGTTTGTTTCACAATCATTTTGAGATTTTCTTAAATTAATAAACTTTTGGCTACTTTTTAAATGCAATCGATCCATTAACACAAATCACCATACAAACCCAAAAAGTATTCCCCATACAACTCACCACCATCTCCACCAAACTATTCTTCTTCTCGTAAGGTACACTACATGTCTTCACCACTACCATATGTCTACAGCTCCCCACCTCCATCATATTACTCTCCTTCTCCTAAAGTAGATTACAAGTCTCTACCACCACCATACATCTACAGCTCCCCACCTCCACCATACTACATTCCTTCTACTAAAGTATACTACAAGTTTCCACCACCACCACGTCTACAGCTCCCCACCTCCACCATACTACCCTCCTTCTCCCAAAATACACTACAAGTCTCCACCACCACCATACATATACAGCTCCCCACCTTTACCATACTAATCTCCTTTTCCTAAAGTAGAGTACAAGTCTCCACCATCACCATACGTCTACAAAACGCCTTACTATTGATTTTGAATTTTTTTGGTTAACAAGGAACGTGACTGTGAGATTTTGTCGTTCTTTGTTTCACATTCATTTTGAGATTTTGTTAAATCAATAAACTTTTGGTTACTTTTTAAGTGCAATTAATGTTTCTTATTGTTTGATCTCACTGGAAATTTGAATTTAAGTACGTACATTTCGCTATCCAAAAATAATGGGTAGTCCATTAGGCTTAACTATGCAATTTTCATTAGGCTTAGGCAACTTCCATTAGTCTTACGGTACATTTGTTCCTTATTGGTGTTGCTTTTTTTCATTAATACGTTGTACACCAATGATTCTTGTAATAAATATATTTTGAGGCTGTCAAAAAAAAAAAATTATCCTTAACGAATTTGCATATACTGTATGTATAATCTTTCTTTGTAGTATATTTATTAGAAAAAAATCCTATCTATTTTAGTATAGCTTATGTTAGTTTTCATACCCAAATTACTTGCCTCTAAAAGATCTCAACACCTATCCCTATCCTAAGATTACTCCTAATTAAAGTAATATATTTTTTTCCCATTAAATCGTTCATATAACTTATATAACTCCCTATCCTAAGATTACTCCTAATTAAAGTAATATATTTTTTTCCCATTAAATCGTTCATATAACTTTAAGAGAAGATGCTCTAAACTGACTCACTTCGGAAAAATATTGTCAAATATGGACCTTGTTTACAACAATTTTCAATATCAGCACTACTTTTCTATCCTTTTAGATTTAGTTATATTTATTAATTATGTTAACTTATTAAAATGGTTATTTACTATTTAACCCTGGTCATCTCTTGCAATGTCTCTGCTGGAAAGCAAAGATTATGCAGACTAACGTAAAGGCTGCGCAGATTCACTTCACCTTTGACTACTAATCTGATATCGTGTGACGATTTCGCGGAGTTGAAGTCATTGAAGAGGTGCAGAAGTTGTTTCTGTCTGTCAGAATAAATGCTACAAAAATGTTATATTGTCACCAGATAATCTTGGGTTGTGGAGAAAAAAAAGACGAGGGCATCCCATGTTTGACGGTCTAACGTCTCGCGGACTGATGGCGAACATATATTCCTCCCGCAGGCGAAAAGTAGAGGCTTTGCAGATTCACTTCACATTTGACTAATATATTATTTTGATATACTGTGACTATTTGGGCAGTCGAACTCATTCACGATGCGCTGTAGTTGTTTCTGTCTCTCGGGTAAATGCCGCAAAAATAATATATTGTCACCAGATAAACTCGGGTTGTGGGGGGCCAAGAAGACATAAAGACATCCCATGTTTAACGAGATGCAGATGTAAGACAGGTGTCTGGCAGACTGATGGCGAACATATATTCCTCACCCAGGCGAGAAGCACAGGCTTCGCAGACTCACTTCACTTTTGACTACTACACTATTATAAAATCTTGTGACGATTTGGCGGAGTTGAAGTCATTGAAGAGGTGATGTAGTTATTTCTCTCTCTCTCACTCTCGTGTAAATGCCACAAAAATGTAATACTGTCACTAGATCAACTCGGGTTGTGGAGGACAAGAAGACACAAAGACATCCCATATTTGACGAGACGCAGATGTAAGACAAGCGTCTAGCGGACAGATGGCGAACATATATTCCTCCCGCAGGCGAGAAGCAGAGGCTTCGCCTTTGCTATTATGATATACTGTGATGATTTGGACAGTCGAACTCATTCACGACGTGCTGTAGTCGTTTCTCTCTCTCTCTCTCTCTCTCTCTCTCTCTCTCTCTCTCTCTCTCTCTCTCTCTCTCTCTCTCTCTCTCTCTCTCTCTCTCTCTCTCTCTGGTAAATGCCTCAAAAATATTATATTGTCACCAGATCAACTCGGGTTGTGGGGGACAAGAAGACACAAGGCCTCTCGACAAGGCCTAAGGCTTTTCAACCCGTACCCCGATCTCGAGTTGTGTTAGTCCGGACTATACTAATATCATTAAGCAAGCCTAAGTTTGTAAAAACGTACTTAATATTAATACCATAGCTTTTCCGAAAATACGTTCTTACAAACCATATATATAATGCTGCAGCGGAGGGTAAACCCAAAAACAAGACGTCTAGTACATACTTTATCTCACAACCGAGTTTTACAAAAACCAACGCAAGTCTACTCTGGTGTCCTAATGTTCTGCTCCGCTTACTAAGGCCAACTACTGGTTACCTGTAGGGAGAAAAAGGGGAGATGAGTAATCTAAGATTACTCAGTGAGTCCAGGACTCTCTAACAAGATAACACCCAAAACACCCAAGAAACCCCAAGCAGCAAGCAAGCAAGTAAACACGCAATAGCCGAAGCAACATAAAGTAAATAGCCGAAGCATGCAATCCTAGATCTATATGCAACTAAACTATATGCAAAGGTGCTACCACTTTTGCACCCAACCGCGTTCTCACAACGCACACATACTACCACACACCACACGCCTCACTCGCGTGGACACAGAGATCTCTAAGTGGGTCAGCCAGTTTCCCTACCACAAACACCCTGCACTTAACTATCACAAAGACAAGTTAAGCCGGAACATCAGAACCACGAACACCCTACACTTGACTATCACGAAGACAAGCCAAGCCGGAGCATCGGACACCCTGGGAGCTCCTCGGTCGGTTCACATCTCGGTGGGGTTTCCATCCGAGAGCCGCCAAGTGAGTTCACATCCCAGGCGGGACATACCATGACTCCTTGCTGGTATTCCCGACTATCTCGTCGGATAGTACTCGGCCAGGTTAGCTAGACCTGTCTAGCGCCGAGTCTTTCCATCTAGCATTATGTCGCTAAACTTGGGGAGCGGGGAACTCTGACCACACTGTCACTATGTCACGAAGGTTACACCTTCAACATGACTCCGCCGTATAATGGATCTCACGCCATTATACCTCACACCCGCGTTGATCCACACTTGATCAAACGCCAACACACCTCCACATAACCTCCGAGAAGTTAGCGCCCTAGAGTGATGGCAAAGCCAGAACTTCTCTAGTCCCAACTCTCGTTTACGGTTGTAAGCATCACGCTTGAACCTCGTTCATGCACGTTTATTTACAACTCCACTTACATGACCTTCCAGCCATGTAGCGTGTTTTACATAATCCGCACACTTGCTCATCCGGTGAAGGAACATGCAAATGGATCTGAGATCCGGCAGTCCTTACACCCTTCTTATCATTCGGTAAGGATGATAACATGTCCCACGGACATGCATCAAACCGTTACCTCATCCAACGGGTTTCGCAGCACACAGATCTACCAGATCTGAGGCTAATCCTGCATAAAAACGTTAGTATACACTCGGATCTATACAGATCCGAGCTTCCCTGCATCACATGTTAGTCACACACAAGCACACAATCTAATCTACTGAGGCTAGTGTTGTGATACAATGCAGATCCGAGATCTACACTGCAGCACGAACAGCAACCGCGATAGTCCACCACTACCGGGACTCACCAGATCTGACAAAATCTTCCACAAAATCCTCAGATCTAGACACTCACAACCACACAATACTCAAATCTAAGACATAAGACACCGCTCACTCACTCAAAACTCAGATCTGAACACTCTCACACAAAACCGAACTAACTCTCTCTTTTCACTCATGGACTCACACTCTTTTCTTCTCTCTTTCTTTCTCTCACACACACTCTCTAGCACGCTTAAGGTAGCAACTAATGGGATGGGTTGAGGGTTAAGGACCTTTATATAGAGGTTTTCTACCAATGAGGTGTTAACACCTTACCTTCTCTCTTCCAACCAATAAGAAAATGCCAGCTCGCCAACTAATCATTCTTATCTCTTCCCCACCAATCATAAATGAGCATATGATTAATATGACTCATTCCTACCTTCTTAACTCTGAAGTAATGAAATATACTCGTCTTCATCCCGCGTTCACTCCGTTTGGCCTTAATTCGGATCTCAAGTGCGTCCATCGACTTCCTCCTGGATTTTTATGATTTCCTTTAGTAGATAAGCTCCTCTCAGGCTTAGAATAAGTTTCCCAAATTCCCAAGTTGATAGGTTCTTGACCGAGTTGGTTTCTCCTCGGTTTAACCCATTTCGCGGCTTGGACGCATTTATCGGACTGTTCGATTTTTAGCGAACTCGTCAGAATTGTTCTTGGAGAAATTCTTCTTCCACGGCCTTCAGTAGGGTCTTGGCTACCTCCATTCAAAGTCTCATAATTTTAAAAATTGTACCCAGGGGTGTCCATAACCAAAAACTCTGTTCGGGTCGTTTAGCTCTTTGACAGGATTATTACATTCTCTCCCCCCCCCCCCCCTCCCCAAAGCGAATTCGTCCTTGAATTCTTAGGCTTGAGATGGTTCTCCTTGCTCCATTGTTGCATTCGATGCAAAGAACTCTGGGTAATTCTCCTTA